AATGAAGAGATGTCTTATCGATCACAAGTTCAGTATGGTGTACCACAAGGCTCAGTACTAGGACCGTTGCTGTTCACTCTGTACACCCTAGGAGATATCATTAGGAAACATGGAATTAGTTTTCACTGTTATGCTGATGATACTCAGCTCTATATTTCTTCACGCCCTGACGAAACTTACCAATTCACAAAATTAACGGAATGCATAGCTGATATAAAAAATTGGATGACTAGTAATTTCCTACTACTTAATTCTGAAAAAACAGAGATTTTATCTAATTATTGGACAAAAAACGTCCTCACGTAATAACCTAGAATAGTCTAACACTTGATGGCTGCTCTGTTAAGCCTTCGTCGTCGGTTAGGAACCTGGGGTGTGCTCTTTGATAATGGAATGTGTTTATATTAGAATCAATCAGAATCTGTCCAACATGTGATGATGGATTGTTATGTATATGAAAAGGAAAGGAAGGAATTTAAAGAATTACTTGAAAAATTAAAACTAAACTTCACTTTAAAAAACACCCTTGGGAACAGCATTGAGGAAAATACATATGCAGTTAATGAAATTTTTGAAAGAAACAGGTCTGATGGAGCGAGTATAAAGGTTATTGCTAATTATACATTTATTATTATTTCCATTTTTTTTTCTCTTCCCCTACATTCTGCCAAATCTTTTGATCCACAATCCCGTTCAGTAGGTGGCGGTAAAGCACCTAATATGCTGGTTTACCAACCGCCAATAAAACCATAAGAAGAAGTGTGATATAATCTTTGATGTGTCATTTAAACCGAATCTTCTCCTGGATAACACCTGTTAAAAAGTTGTTTCCCAAGAGCCATTAAAACCATGATAAGAAAAAGTATGATGATGTAATCTTTGATGTGTCATTTAAACCGGATCTTCTCCCGGATAACACCTGTTAAAAAGTTGTTTGCCAATCGCCATTAAAAGAATCAGATGATGTAGAAGAAGAAGATAACACCTGTTGAACGGTGTAAGTATTTGTAGCTTGAACCTTTTGTTTCTTTTTCTCTTTTATACGATTGAACACTTGGACAAGTATTTGAAACACTGCCGATTTTGCAGGTTTTTTCCACTTACAAAACATGTAAAGTCTGTAATTTTTATCATAGGTACTCTTCAACTGTGACGGAATCTAAAACAATTTTTTTTAAGTAACTAGTGCAATGCCAGTGCAAAAATCAGTCTTTGTGTGTTTTTAGTAATTGTTGGTTTGGTATGTTTGAGTTGCATAATAACCTAGGCTACTATTACACAGGAGCCTAAACTCTGAGAAAACGTTAACGTTAAGCGCACCAGAATAAAATATAAATTTCAGAATTAAACAGTGTAGCTGACTTACAGATTCAGTAAAATCGCTACTTTTTTTCAAAAAGAATTGCTACTATTTCAAAAAGAATAGCTACTTTTTTCAAAAAGAATAATGTAACAATAATAATGTAACAAATCTATAATAATAATGTAACAAATGTATAATAACACTGTAATAAATGTATAATTACATTGTAATAAACGTATAACACTGTAATGTATAATTACATTGTAATAAATGTATAATTATATTGTAATAAATGTATAAGATTGTAACAAACTATTTCCAAAAAGAATCGCTACTCTTTTTTTTTAAATCGCTACTTTTTTCAAAAAGAATAATGTAACAAAATAATAATGTAACAAATGTATAATAACACTGTAGTAAATCTATTATAACACTGTAATAAATGTATAATTACATTGTAATAAATGTATAATTACATTGTAATAAATGTATAATAAAACATTTTTTACACAGTTTTTTTTTTAAAGAATCGCTACTTCAAAAAGAATCGCTATTTCAAAAATAATCGCTACTTTTTCAAAAAGAATCGCTACTTTTTTCAAAAGGAATAATGTAACAAATGTATAATAACACTGTAATGTATTCTTTTTCAAAAATAATCGCTACTTTCAAAAATAATCGCTACTTTTTCAAAAAGAATTGCTACTTTTTCAAAAAGAATTGCTATTTCAAAAATAATTGCTACCTTTTCAAAAAGAATCGGTACTTTTTTCAAAAATAATGTAACAAAATAATAATGTAACAAATGTGTAATAAAGATAATGTAACAAATGTATAACAAGACTAATGTATAATTAGATTGTAATAAATGTATAATAACACTGTAATAAATCTATAATTACATTGTAATAAACGTATAATTACATAGTAATAAATGTCTAATAACACTAATAAATGTATAATTACATTGTAATAAATGTCTAATAACACTAATAAATGTATAATTACATTGTAATAAATGTATAATTACATTGTTATAAATATATAAGACTGTAACAAATGTATAATAACACTGTAATGTATAATAACACTGTAATAAATGTATAGTAAAACTGTAACAAATGTATAATTACATTTATTTACACTACTTTTTTCAAAAAGAATCGCTACTTTTTTCAAAAAGAATCGCTACTTTTTCAAAAAGAATCGCTACTTTTTCCAAAAAGAATGGCAACTTTTTCAAAAAGAATCGCAACTTTTTCGAAAAGAATCGCTACTTTTTTCGAAAAGAATCGCTACTTTTTTCGAAAAGAATCGTTACTTTTTCAAAAAGAATTGCTACTTCAAAATGTAACAAAATAATAATGTAACAAATGTATAATACTGTAATAAATATATAAAAACACTAGAATAAATGTATAATAAGACTGTAACAAATGTATAATTACTTTTTTTACACTACTTTTTCCAAAAAGATTCGCTACTTTTACAAAAAGAATAATGTAAAGGCCTGTTCACACCGGGACGAATTTCGCGCATGATATTCGCCGACGTTTAACGCCTCGTGACTAAGCAAAGGGGGCCTATGTGAGTGTGCACACCGACGTGAAAAACGGCACGCGTAAAAGCGTCATTTATTTTAAAACGCCTCGGGTTCGTTTTTTTTGGTTTGACGCACTGCGTCAAAAACTATCCGACCAATGAGATTGGCGCTTTTGCCCACGTGTCTCGAGCTTCTGAAGTTACAGTAAAACACAACTTGGGGGCGCTCAAACACAAAACGGTCTTGCCGAGCACACATACGTAACGGCGAAGAAGATGCGCCAAGTAGCGTCTACACACCATAGATATCCATAATAAAGGCTAGATGTCTCGTCCGCGCTGCTGGCCAATGGTCTTTATTATGGATATCTATGGTCTACACTGCCGGGAAGAAATAAGACGAGGAAGATGCAAGGCAAGATGAATGTAGAGCTGCTGGTCTCGTTGGTGTCGGAAACGCGACAGCGACTACAAAATAGGACTATTTCTGTTTTACATTAAGCGCCATCTAATGTCAGGGAATGAATTTGCATGTTCACTCGGCTCAACGTCAGCGAAAATCGCTTGGGTGTGAACACAAAAAACGCATTGAAAAACGCTGACGAATAACGCGCGCCGATATTCGTCCCGGTGTGTACGAGCCTTAACAAAATTATAATGTAACAAATGTATAATAATAATAATAATGTAACAAATGTATAATAACACTGTAATAAATGTATAATTACATTGTAATAAATGTATAATAGCACAAATTTTAAAATATTGCTAATTACTTACAAAGCGCTAAATGGTTTAGCTCCCCAGTACTTGAGCGAGCTCTTAACGCATTATAGTCCTTCACGTCTATGGCGATCTCAAAGTTCCGGCTAGTTGATAATACCTAGTATATTAAAATCGACTGCTGGCGGTAGATCCTTTTCCTATTTAGCACCAAAACTTTGGAACAGTCTTCCTACCATTGTCCAGGAAGCAGACACACTCTGTCAGTTCAAAGCTAGACTAAAAACACATCTCTTTGACCTAGCATACACATAACACATTATAGACTAATAAAATTCAATGTTAGGCTGCATAGATTAGGTCAGCCGGAACCGGGAACACTTCCCATAAATCCTGATGTACTCGTTACATCATAAGAAGAATGGCATCTACGCTAATATTAGTCTCTCTGTTTATCCCGAGGTTTACCGCTGTCCGCCGGATCCAGGCCGTATCAAGATCTGATGACCTGCGCCTGGACACGACGACAACGCAGTGCTGAAGTGTCACTAGTCCCTCCCTGTGAAGGCCTCCTTCCCTTTACCTCTGTACTGAGGGTCGTGAGACTGATGAAGGTCATGAGACTGATGAAGGTCGTGAGACCGAAACGTTGCTAATAGAGATGCGCGGATGGGCTATTATTTCATCCGCAACCGCATCACAAAACTCATCATCCGTCCGCCATCCATCCGCACCAACGTTTTTGACCAATTTTCAAAACCGCACCCGCCCGCCATCCGCTGATACAAGGCGCTGCTGATGACAGCCGCGAGACTAGAAACCGCCCGCCAACCGCCCGAATTTAATTCAAATATTTTTTTCGTCACGTCATCCGCCCGATCCGCGGTTTATCCGCGGAGTCCGCGGCTATAACCGCAAACCGCGCATCTCTAGTTGCTAATCAAATTTTTTTTAATGCAAGTTCTGATAGTGTGTGGGAGTTCCTCGATTGCAGATTGTCGACCGATCTTTTTTGGTCTTTTTTCCTACGCACATATTATCTGCAGGTGTGCGATGTTTTTTTGTTAATTAACTTAACAAACTAAACATAACTGTGACAATAGTCTCTCATTAAATGAATCCATAACAGTATTCTGTGGTGAGTATATTCAAAAACTGCATGCATCACTCCACGACCAACACATTCTCATCCCAAGGCGTCATCTAACTGACACTTTTGACCATGCGTCTAAATCCGACGCACATGGCACCCTTTAGCGTCAGTTAGATGACGCTTCCGTTATGGGTTTAGGTCTGGGGTAGGGTTAGGGTTAGACCACTAGGAGGCGCGTCTCATATTGACGCTTAAGGGGTGCCATGTGCATCGGCATGTTGACGCATGGTCAAAAGCGTCAGTTAGATGACGCCTTGGGATGAGAATGGGCTGCCACGACACGTCAACTTCCCTTTTACAGGTTAAACTGGGTAAAAAAAAAGGATGACTGGGAGGATCATACGTGAATCTGGGCTGAACCCAATCTGCAAATAAATACTCGAGACACTTCTAGTCACGACCATCTGTGAGACAAACATCTGACCTGACCTGATCTACTCTCTGAAAACACCTGTTGAACATCGTAAGTATTTGTAACCTTCAACTCTCTCTTTAGAGTTGATTAGTAATAAACTGTTGTAATTTAATGTTAAAAACAATGAAACGGTGAAGAATTTGTCTGCTAAATGGAGTAATGGATTTTCTATTGCACTTTTTCCTCAGACCTGCAGCAAGATGTTGCTTTTACTTTTCTGTCTGCTTTCTCTGACGGCAGCGGCTGCTGAAGGTACCGCATTTTACATGATTAACTTTCACGGATTGGCATGAGCAGGATTTCTCATACAAATATAGTAAAAGAGTTTATTTTGTGTGTTGTCTTTCAGTGGGTCTTAGTGGTAAAGCGCTTCTGTTTCCAACCAAGACGGATTCCAGCTTTGTTAAACTCACTCCTGAAAAGCCCCTGAGTCTCTCAGCGTTTACTCTCTGCATGCGTGTGGCGACGGAGCTCCAGGGTCAGAGGGAGATCATTCTCTTCGCCTACCGAACATCCAGCGTCGACGAGCTCAACGTGTGGAGAGCGAAAGATGGCCGCTTTATTTTTTATATTCAGTCTAGTAGTAATGGAGCGATTTTCCGCCTGCCTCCTCTCTCCACGTTCCAGACTCACCTGTGCCTCACCTGGGACTCTGCGACCGGTCTTACTGCTTTTTGGGTGGATGGACGGCGCAGTGTGTTCCAGATCTATAGGAAAGGTCACTCAGTTCGTCCTGGCGGCACCGTTCTGCTCGGCCAGGACCCTGATAAATATGTGGGTACCTTTGACGCAGAGCAGAGCTTAGTAGGTGAAATTACAGATGTGCAAATGTGGGATCATGTTCTCTCTGCCATTCAGATTAAGGCGGTTTATTCTAACCAGGAACCGTATGTGCCGAAGGGAAACGTGATTGACTGGAACACCATCAAATATGAGACCAGAGGAAATGTGCTAGTGGTGTAAGATAACTGATTATGTATTCAGTTGTAATGTCACACACATTGTCATCCACACAGTTGTGTCAATCTTTATGATCTGTTAATCTGTTTTAATGAGTGACGAAGCTGTAAGGGTTAACAAATAAATATTCTCAGCATTACAACTCCAGTGTCTGTGCATCATTTGGAAGAAAGAGTTGAATGTTGAAAGTGCTTTTACTGGTGTTAGTGGTCTATATATTAAATTAGCATATTACAGTACCACTCAAAATTTTGGACCCTACTATTTTAATGTTTTTGAAAGAAGTCTCTTATGCTCACCAAGGCTGCATTTATTTGATCAAAAATACAGAATAAAAAAGTTATATTGTGAAATATAATTACAATGTAAAATAATGGTTTGCTATCTTAATATACTTTAAAAATTTTATTTATTCCTGTGATCAAAGCTGAATTTTCAGCATCATTACTCCAGTCTTCAGTGTCACATGATCCTTCAGAAATCACTCTAATATGATGATTTGATACTGAGTTATCAATGTTGGAAACGGTTAATAATTTTATTAATATTTTTTGGAACCTGTTTTTTCAGAATTAATTGATGAATAAAAAGTTAAAAAGAACAGCATTTATTCAAAATAGAATCTTCTATCACAATATAAGTCTTTACTAACACTTTTTCAAATCAATTTAACATATCCTTGCTGAACAAAGGTATTAATTTCTTTCAAAGAAAGAAAGAAAAATGACTGACCCCAAACTTTTGAACGGTAGTGTATAATGTTACACGAGATTTCCATTTTAAATAAATGCTGTTCTTTTTATTCATCAAATAATCCTGAAAAGGATATCAAAGGTTCTAAAAAAATATTAAGCAGAACAACTGTTTCCAACATTGATAATAAAGCATCATATTAGAGTGATTTCTGAAGGATCATGTGACACTGAAGACTGGAGGAATGACTGGAGAACTGGAATAAATTACAGTTTAAAATATATTACAATAGAAAAGAGTTATTTTAAATTGTAATATTTCACAATAGTTCTGTTTTTTTTATTCTGTATTATTTATTAAATAAATGCAGGCATGTAATGTTTCCAAACTTTTGACACTACACACACACACACACACAACTACGATCCATTGTAACATCACATAACACAGTATACAATCCTTTAAATGCTAACAATCTTTTTTTTTTCCTGAGCTTTATGAGTGCAACACGTGCATAATTTGGGAAAAGAGATGAGCCTAACTGTAGAGTGTTTCTGAAGTACACCTGCACAGGACCTCAGTCTAAAGGATGTGGTCAGTTATGTTGATCATTTGAAAGGCAATGAACAATACGCTGTCATTTGATTATCTTTTTGCTCCCCAGATATTATAAGTACACTACAGCCTGTTCAGAACAACAGCACAGGCCTAATAAAGGAACATATCACCCATTTGAAAAGAGCTTCATTGGTTAATATCTCAGATAGCAGACGTGTTTGGCTCTAAATGACTTAATTTCAGTCTATTGACTGTTTTCTTTAAAGTACAATGAATTTTTTTTTTTCTTTTTTTTTTTCATAATGTGTTTTTGACAACTTTGTATATCACTCATCTCTCATAAACACCTGCATTGCATTATCTAGTTTATGTCCTTTACTCGACTCTCCAACCTCAGAAACCTCTCCTTCACTTCTGCTGATGTATATGATTGTTGAGATAATTCATAAGGGAAATTCATGTGACCCACTGCTGCTGTCTGGTGTTCACATGCTAGGCGGTGCATCATGAGAAACACCAACTCATGGCTTGAGTAATGGAAGTCTGCATTCATACAAGTTACAACATCTCATTCTTAAACCACAAACAAACAAAACTATATGAAAACCATAATATAAATTCCAAGAACCTTCACTCACTGATATATTCTGATATTTGATCACAATTTCATGACATTGACAGCTCTTGTGATATTCAAAAGGAAAAGACAGAAATAAAAACTGACAACAATGGTATCGTACATTTTGCTTTCTCAAATCGCATTAAAGAGAGTATTGTTGTATTGTGCAAAAGGTTATGTATTGTCTTTAGATCATTTTATAAATTCAACTCTGTCTGCATGTTTGGGAATTGAGTGCATCTGTTTATTTGATTGACAGAGAGAGAGAGAGAAGTACAGAGGAAGAGACGTTTGCAAATATCTTTGTGTGTGTTTTGGGTCTCATGATTGTGTGACTCTTCACACAGCATCTTTTGTTGGTGTGTGTGAGGTGATGTCATCGCGGTGCAAGGAGGGAAGCGGCTCAGAGTCAGCAGTGATTCTTCACTCACACACACTTCTGCTACACAGTGAGTATTCTGAACGCTTTACATTTGTTTGTCATTATTTCATTTATATATTATTGAAAAATTAAAAGACAATTCAAACTTCATGCTTTTCTTTCTTTCTTTTTTTAAAAAGAAATTTTTGCTTTTCTTTTTATGCTTTGTGATCAGAAATGTTGGTAACACTACTTAAACCCAATAAAGTTTTTTAATGCATTAATTATGCCTTGTATTGCACATTATAATGCACTGTATGATCTCGTGAATAATTGTAACTACAGTTATTATACATTATAATACTTATCTATTAATTGAACGAACCTTTAAAAACATGATAAACTTACAATTTCAAATGTTATCCAAATAATCGAATGCATTTTAACTGGTTACAATTACGTATGAAAAGATATGATGCATTATAATGTACATTATGAATACCTTTATAATGCATTATACATCAGTGCAACGTTTTTCATTTAAACAAGTATAATTTACATACGATAAAGCTACTTTAAATGTTCTTCAAAATAATAATAAAAATGTTACCTTAAAATAAGGAGAGTTTTTGGGGGGTCGCAATGCAAAAAACAAAGTATGGATTTCATTTTTATTTAATTTTGGGTAACACTTTACAATAAGGTCTCATTAGTTAACATGGACTAAGAATGAACAATACTTCTACAGCATTTATTAATCTTTTTCGACACTCACTTATACATTATTAAAATCAAAAGTTATATTTGTTAACATTAGTTAATCCTACGGAAGCGTATTGCATTCACTCTAAGAAGAAAAATCTACTCTGTTTTTCTGAATTAACGAGTTAATTATCTCAGAATTACGAGATAATTTTTCTTGAAAAACATTTTTTTTCACTCTCTTTTTATGAATTAATGAGTTAATCATAATTTTGAGATAATTAAGTCATTAATTCAGAAAAACAGAGTAGATTTTTTTTCCTCAAGTGAATGCAATACGCTTCCGTAATAATCCACTATGAACTGACGTCAATAAACAATGAACAGTATTGCTAATTTGATACATTACAATAAGGTTCCATTTGATAACATGAATTAAAGTGTTACCTGATTTTGGGATGAAATAAGTCATTTCTTGACGCTTTACTTGCGATTAACCCATAGATCATTTACAAGAATATAGAATTAAAGCACTAATAGGCTTATGTCAAACTCTATAAGACTATAATTTGAATATTTCATTTCTTTTATGATTCCTCAGAGCTGCAGCACGATGTTGGTGCCGGTGGTGTTATGTTGCTGTCTGCTGTCTCTGACACACGCTGCTACTGAAGGTTTGTCAGATTAACAGCTGGAGTTTGTGCTTGTTTTGTGTGTGTGTTTGTTTCAGTAGTGTTTTTGTGTCTCGCAGTGGGTCTCGGTGGTAAAGTGCTTCTGTTCCCGTACGAGACAGATTTCAGCTTTGTTGAACTCACACCTAAAAAGCCTCTTGGCCTGTCGGCGTTTACTCTCTGCATGCGTGTGGCGACGGAGCTCCAGGGCGAGCGGCAGGTCATTCTCTTCGCCTACCGAACACCCGACTACGACGAGCTCAACGTGTGGAGGGAGAAAGATGGCCGTGTGTCCTTCTACCTCAGGGGTGACGGAGCGTTTTTCCACCTGCCTCCTCTCTCCAGCTTCAGGACGCACCTGTGCCTCACCTGGTCCTCTCACACCGGGCTCACGGCCTTCTGGGTGGACGGACGGCGCAGTGCGTTCCAGCTGTATAAACCGGGTCACAGCATCCGTGCGCAGGGCACTGCTATACTGGGCCAGGACGCAGACAAACACCTGGGGGACTTCGAGACGGTGCAGAGTTTCGCCGGCGAGCTCACGGACCTGAACATGTGGGACTACGTCCTCACCGGAAACCAGATTAAAGCGCTGTATTTCAACCAGGCGCAGCGCGTGCCGAAGGCTAACGTGTTCGAGTGGAGCACCATTCAATATGAGATTAAGGGAAACGTGCTAGTCGTGCAAGATGACTGATTATAGATGTTTTCTACATGCTGATATTACAAAATAGTTTGTGGATTTAAGAACTTTTTTGTTTATTTAATTTGATCATTTAGTTTGGATTGATGATGAGTGAATCGATGGCTGATAATGTTATTTAAATGTGAAATAATAGACTGATATATAAGTCATAACTCAGAAATACATAAGCCTGTTAACTCAAGAAGATCATTAAGCGTATACAGTAGGGGAGACCAGGTGTGGTTGTAACACTTTTTGTTTCAGCATCTGTAACTCACTGAATTTTTAAGCTAGACTGCTCAAACTTTTATACAAAGAACCCACGTTTGTTCACTACAAAAGGCACCTATTCAAATTTCTGTAAGAATTTCACAACACTGATGAGTTGATGTCAAATACATGCTGTGCCGGGGTACGTTTGGAAGACAAAAGAAGCAAAAATAGCGGCAATACCATGCAATATGCTTCAAAAACATGGTTTATTGAAACAATTTAAAAGAACAATACAAACCAATATCACTCTTTCTGTGACTGACCACAGCTCAAATCCAGTTTGACTCATGAGTTTGTGCATGTGATTGTAAATAAGACTACTAAAACAAACTTCCTAACTCCAGTGCACCTGTAAAGAACAGGTAGGTCTAACAAAAACACAGTGTAGTGTGTCTGTGTGAGTGTGTGTGTGTCAATGAATATTCTGCATATAACCATTCATATGG